AATGCTTGAGAGCTGTATGATAGTTCATACTGTATGTGGAGAAGAGTTTGGGATGCAATTCCTTAATCTCAAACTGCCCCGAACTATTTTAAGAGTTAGGTATTTTTATACATAAACTGTTTCCATAGCTAGCTAAGGGCTGACCTTGGAAGAACCCTGCTCACCTTTTCCTAGTCAGCAGCCTGGGTGAAAGAAAACTGACTTTTAAGGATGAGTAAATAAAGCCACCAAAGGAGCCTATGTGAAAACTGGAGCATCTAATTAACTCCTCTGTTCTTGGAGACCAACACAAAATCATCATACTGGGGTCATTTGTTTATAAATTGTGCATCTTTATAGACAGCACTTCCTTTGTATTTCAGACACATATCAGTGTTAGCAGAAACAATAAAGAAGGGAATCCACGATGCAGACTCAGAAGCCAGGATAGAGGCAAGAAAGTAAGTGCAAGCTGTTGTTGGTGTTGTTTCTTTCTCTACTTAATTTTAGTCATTAAATTGCCCATGAATTGCCTCCTGGAAGGTGCCGAGTGCCTTCAACTCCTTGGTTTGTAACAAGAATGAAAGCCTTGTCTCTGCATCATTGTGAAAGGGCTGTTTGTTAGACTTGAAGAAAGCAGCATCCACTGGGGCCTTTTTGAATCAGACTCACAGAAATACATTCGGCTTTTAGCTTTTTTATTAGAAATAGATACTGAGCAGCTAGTCCCAAACTAATATCAGTTATATATCTTATATAGTTATATCAGTTCTATATCTGATAAATATCTGATTGGGACTAGTATCTCCTGTTTATGGTAGACAGCTGGAGGGATTCTGCTGTATTAAAGCTTTCCTGACTGCTTGTGCTGCAAAGTGCCAAATGGTGTGTTCCTCATTTCAATTGATTTGTCTTCTGTGGATCTGCTTCTTCAGCTCCTAGTAGTACCCAAATCTGAAGTGTGTTACAGGGGAAGGACTAACAAACTGCTGCTGTGTAAGGGCTCTGCCTGTATCTGTGCTCCACTGACCCCTAAAACATGACAAGAAAGTCTCAGTACCATGACTGTCGTATTTGCAGGTGTTACTGGGGTTTTCATGGTCACTTCAGCCGAGAGGCAGAGCATTTGTATCACACCCTGGAATCATCCTACCAAAAGGCCCTGCAGTCTCATTTGAAGAACTCTGACAGCATCGTGTCCTTGCCACAGTCAGATCGCTCCTCTTCGAGCTCTCAGGAGAGTCTCAAGTAAGTCTTTTGGTGTCCCTACCTTTAACTTTACCTGAAGAACTGCAAGTAAGTCCACGGAACTGGAGGAAGCCATCATGTTGCTTTGGGTACCATTTGCATTATTTTCCTTGTGTCTTGTCTGGTCATCATTTGGTCTCAACATTTTGGCTTCCCCCAGATTACTTCCTTTTGAGATAAGTGTATTAAAGCTGGAAAGCCAGGAAAAGTATGGCTTTTTAAAAATCATTATCTTAAATTCCTAAAAATTTTAGGAGACTTTTGCTCAGACATTGTTGGTCATTGCTTTGAGGCATGCTTGGTTTGAAATTCTTTGTTTAGCTTTAATCCTAGAGGTGCAAAAAAATGAAGAGAAACAAAACAAAAACCTCAAACCCTTGTTCAGCTAACGTACGCAGATTTTTTTCTTGATGCTTTTATAAAAAATTTTAAGATGATGCTCTATTTATGCTTAAGCAACAAGCTTCATTAGTCTATCCCTGTATGTAATTTTCTATTAACTCAATAGTATGCTTCACGAAGAGAGTAGTGATGTTGATGGTGGCTCTGAAATAAGTTTTGTTCTACTGAATATTTATTTTAACTTCTAGCCGTCCCTTGTCTGCCAAAAGAAGTCCTACTGGAAGCACTGCATCTAGAGGTGAGAACAGGAGCTGGGAAAAATGCAATCAGGTGTTGCTGAAGAAACATGAAGTACAGGGATGATTTTGATGAGTTTACTGCTCCTTAAAAATGGCAACTTATTATGTAAAATTCTTGTATTGGTTGTGGGTCATATATCTCTTTTTATGCATTAACTGCTGATATAATGGTGCTTTTGAAAGCTCATCAATCTGTTACTGCTTGTATCTCTGAAGGGAAGGCTAGAAAGCCTTGAGAGCCATAGCCAAGGT